GTTTGTACGCTGTATGACCAGAACTTTTAGGCAATGATTTTACTTTGTGTACTTGTGTAAAAATTTAAACTGCTCTCATAATAATTTTTTATTGTTGTTTTTCATATATTTTTTGCTTACATTAAAGCTGGTTTCAACATTTCCGACTTACTTACCTAAAAAACAAAATAACGCATCAGGGCTACGTGTCAAGGTTCTAAATGGCTAAACGTAATGAGGACACGGTTATATTCAATGGCGTAGAGAAGAAATTAATTTATAAAGTTATAAATTTTATTTTATGGTATTTATATTTATATATGTAATATAACAACTAATTTTATGTTGTGTACCAGATAGCGCATGAAGCAATTATTGTGTCGCGCTTAATTTGACTGACGATTACGTTTAAAAGTTATCAGTTTTGTTGCTATCGCTGTTAGTAAATATTTGCGAAAACTTTGAGTGTTGCCACTTCAACTTAATGTATGTATTTGTATTACAATTTAATGACAGAAGTGAAAGTTAGTGCATATCTTTTATGGGTTCTTTGGTTTTGTCTTGGGGTAGTGGATTTATCACGATTCCGGATGTCCAAAATATTACAAAGTTGGTGGCCTGTTTTAATGGCCGTGCCATTGTCTTTATTTATGTGGCTTGCTAATTTAACATTATCGAAGCTATGGTTTAATGAATTTGAAGGTACGTACGCTTATGCTGTTATCAATAAGAAAATTTTAAAACCGTTTTTTATGTAAATCAGATTCCCATGTAATACCACCTACGCGATGGTTATTTTCCACGTCAGTACCATTGGCCATGATGATGATTGCTTGGCGTCGCCGATCTGTAGATAAATCTGGCGCAGCTTTGGGCTTAGTGATGGCATTTCTCTTGTCCCTAGCCAACCACGCTTTTTTTATGTGTTTAGTTGCGTTTTTCTTTTCCTCTTCGAAAGCTACAGAATTTCGTGGGTATGCGAAACGTAAAATTGAAACAAATTTTAAAGAAAAAGGTCAGCGTAATTGGATACAAGCTTTGTGTAATGCCGGTGTAGCTACTCTATTGGCAGTATTGTATTTAATTGATTGTGGATCTAGTGAACGGTCCATAAATTTCGTTAACGATTTTCGAGCTAGCTGGCTGAGCATATCAGTAATGAGTATGTTATTTTTGTTTTAGAGTATTGATTTTCATGTTCACTTTCACATAAAGGTTCTTTTGCTTGCTGCAATGGTGATACTTGGGCTAGTGAATTGGGCACTGCTTTATCATCAGATGATCCGTATTTAATAACCACGTTTAAACGCGTGCCACGCGGCACTAATGGTGCAATTTCCTGTATTGGCTTATTGGTCAGTTGGTTAGGTGGCTTGCTAGTAGGCTTTGCCTACTTTCTAACAGTACATGTGACGGTTTTCGGCAATCAAATGCTTATTAGCCCACCTCAATGGCCTTTAATACTATTCGGTGGTTTAGCCGGTCTATTAGGATCCATGGTTGATTCCGTGCTTGGTGCTACAGTACAATTCTCTGGCATTAACGAAGAGGGCAAAATTGTGGAAGATCCCGCTGAAGGCGTACGACACATAAGTGGTCTACGCATAATAGATAATCACAGTGTTAATCTTTTATCGAGCATTTTAACAGGCATAACAATGCCGTGCCTAGCTTCAAAATATTGGCCGGATCGCTAATCTATATATGATTTTCAAAACATTTACTATCAACTAATTGTGTGAGGTTTTTTGAACTGACTGATTTTAATGTGAGGAACTTTTCACGTTTTTGGCCCAAGTTTCATTATTGTTAAATCCCATGTCCTGTTTTATACGGCTGAAAAAGTAAAATACTCGAATTGATTTTGTATTTGATTTACTTTATTGCATTTCTTTAAATAACAATATTGTAATTGTTTTAAGGAATCGACAAATATAAAAAAATTAATACAATTTTTCTTCGGATTATTTTCAAATATGGCGCTTATATTTTTAGTTTTTGAAATCATCACAAACGTAACGTGGATGGACAGACATACGTGTTTAAATCAGTTCAAAGTTGTTGATGATTAAAAATATAGATAGCTTATTGCATTTTTAAGCTTTGTTCTGCTTGTTGCCAAAATTCTCACAAGATGAACAATATATAAGGGTGCGAAAATAATTCGTATTTAACTAGCAAAGACACTTACCACAACTGTTAATAAAACTCTGTTAATGGCGTAGCAGAGATCTGTTAAATAATTAACATTAGTGTACAGTTGGATTTGAAAGACCATTTTGTCCATATTAAACAACGTAAAATATTTTTGTGGACATCTAAATGAAAATACCTTTTGAACAAACTAAACAAATTCAAATTCTGCTTATGGGAACTATTTTTAACAATTTTTTGAAATTTGGTATGTTAGCGAAAAATGGATATGGAACAACACCCGAATCTAAGACTTTGCATTTTCAGCAACTTTTGTTTACATTCTCTACAACAATTGTCTACGCCATTGTCTACATCAATTGTGTACGTCATTCTTTACATCGATTGTCTACGAAATTCTTTACATTGATTGTCTTCGTCATTCTCTACGTCATTCTTTACTTAGACTGACATAGAGACGTATTTGCTAGAAAAATGGCGGAAAGTTATTGAGCAAACTAGTACATTTTGATTAAGTGAAGTTTGTTTAAGATTAAGATGAAATCGAATTAAATTTTCGGCAAAACACTCCACGAACGTTTTTCATGTTTCAGTGTTTCCTATCCATCATTGAATTACCGCCTACTTAATAGCTTTTATTTAACACAAATGGTAGCAATTAATGTCGTCCTTACTCTTTAATAAGGCTTGGTAAGTTCTTTAAGAAAAAATGTTCTAATTTGGAACGAGACGTTAGTCCGTAGAGGTCAAAACATATCTAAGAAGTAAACAAGTAAAAAAACAATAGTGGACCGCGGCCTTATGAATTATTTCCGATAGCATTCTTCCTTGACCCGAAACACGTCGGTGATTCGATATACCACGAATCATTTTTTATAACTTTGGCCAATCAGAGACCGTAAACTATTTTGAGCTCCTAGGGATTGAACTCCGCTTCTGATATCGGTTTAAAGTTAAAAGAAGGATTTATTTTATAGGAAAGGTGATTATTTTTGACACGCGATTCAATTTGAGATTCATATATCATATTACGCATTTCACAGATATAATGATTATGTCAAAAATATTGCGGAATTTTTGCTAAAAAAATATGCACATGAGATCACATCGCTGAGAGCTGTAACTTTGTGGGAGAAGGAAGGATTTGTGCATTAAGCCTAATCAGCTTCAGCTCCATTGAGGATCTGTTGAGGAGTTGAGGGTGCCAGTTTGGTGCCACGTTTTAATCTTCCATTTCCCTAAATCTGTATTCCTTTCTCTATATATGTGTCGGAAGATTAAAAGGTGTCGTATGCGCAAATTTGATCGTAGATCGGAACAACGCTTTGTGCATAGTCAGAACGTTTTTGGGAGGCACTTCTAACTGATCGTTAGTCAATAGTTTGATGATGTTACATCCGAATTAAAGACTTACTCATAATGCTTTTGAAGAGTGAGGCTATCATTTAATATTTTGCCCAGATGCTGAAGAGATTTGACTTTAGATTCTTTGATAGAGATGCTAATTTCACGTTTCGATTATAAATGAATTAAGATCGGCCGATGCGGCAATGAGTCAGCAGACATTATTAAAAAATGCTTAGCGTATTGAAACACATGACCTTTGTTGCCTTCAAGGTCACGCAACTCAACTGCACACAGATTGAAGAGGCTGGGACTCAAACAACTGCTTTGTGAAATACCACTGTCTGCACCTCTTACCAATACACCTTTAGATAAAAAATTTAAGGTCCAAAGACACAATTTAAAGTGGGATCGAAAAGTTTAAGAGAATTCTAAAGCGCTTCATCAAGTTGACGCCATCGTAAGCTTTGCTGATATCCAGGGAGAACCTGTTCATCAATTTTTTTCAGGCTCTCTATGAAAAAAGAAAGACATTTCATAGACACACATGCTTGTAGATTTGCGTTTTTGCAAAGCATAAGAATGAACTGGAATTATATTCTCGGTACTCAAGAAATCTATCAGCCTCTTCTTAAGCATGAGATTAATTAGAAGAAAGAAAAGAAAATAGAAAATTTCATTTCACGACACTTTCTTAGAAACCGTCTGTCTAAAGTTGATCTTCCTTCCGACTTATCATCAATTGAAAGTGGCTTTCAGTCTGTGATCAGGTCTGCGAAAACCAACTTTTCTGGTATTGAGTGCTTCCGATCTAAACCTTGGTGGAAGTCTTCGTTGTCCACGTTTTTCCGCAAATACTAAGCTGCAAGGGAAAAAAATGTATAAATATGCCAATCCAGCCAACTTCATTGAATATGTGAAAACACTGAAAGAATGGCGGTCTGCAGTTCGAAAAGCGAAAAGAACACATAGAGCTATCACGATTAAAAAGTTATGTGGTAATAGCAATCCGCGTTTATTCTGGAATTATGTCAATGGTTATCGACAATTTCGTCGAAAATTAAAAAGGTTGTGCTGTGTCGAGCGACCATGATAATAAAAGATACTTGGATATGCTCAAGAGCTATATTCCTAGCGTCAATCCGATTACAATACCTTCGATTCCTTTTGGTAGTCTCAACATTCCAGAAACTGCTGCAGATTGTGATGGAGCTAAGTACGACATGGTTAGAGCACTGTCTGAAAGAAGCTTAAATATCCTCTAGCATGCAGTGATGGGTACAGAAAAGCTTGAAATCTACGGTGGCATCCCACAAGGCAGTTGTTTAAGCCGCATACTTTTTAATCTATACATAGCTATTTTCCTTGATCTTCAAGATGACAAAATTCATATTTTTCCAATATGCAGATGATTTGATAATTGTATCTTTTTACGCGGCTATCAATAATCTCTCGATAAAAGCTAACCTTATCTTCGATGCATGCGCCGATCTTAATTTTGTATTTCAACCCCAGCAAAACAAATACCAAAAATCATTGCCAAAGGTTCTAAACGTGAAATCAGGCTCTTTATCAAAGGAATTAAACTTGATGAGGTGAAATGTTTTCGATTTCTTAGTAGAATTTTAAATGGCAGCCTAACTCTGCGTGGACATTATGAGAATGCCTTCGAAGACTGTCAATCCGGAGGCAATATCATCAACCTCCTGACTAACAATCAGTCAAGCTTGCCTTCAAAAAAAGCTTGTACCGTCTACAAAGCTTTAGTCAGATCCAAAATTGAATTTGCACATTCGACATGTTGCAATATCCCAAAATATATAACGAGAAAGACAACACAAACATTTGAAAATGGAATGTTAAAACGTTGTACTGGACTGATCCCCTCAACTCCTGAACATATTCTTAATGCCATTTCCGGTGAATGGCCCGTTTCCGAAAGAGCTCTCCTTTGCAGTGTCAAAAAGTTAATTAAAATCAAGATAATGAATCTTTCCCCTTTTCAGAAAGTTATATCTCTCAGTGATACTGTCCCTTGCAGCTACACATTTTCTTTGTTTGACAAGATAAATTCGAATCGTCTCTCGAATTTTTTCACCAACAAATGTAGAGCCTTCTAATTGAATAATGAATTATTTGATTCTTCTTGGCATCTCCTTCCCTCCGCCAATATATGGATTTCCTCCCAGCTGTCCAGCAGTAGTCATAACGGTATAGATTTTTTTTTTTACATAACTAATGTATTAACAAAACGATATGAAAATTACCCGAAGGATATGTAAAATTGGTCGAGTATATACAACTGACCATAATGACAACACTGTGATTAAAATAACAACAAAGTATTGTTTTTCTTTTCTTTAAATAAAATTTATTATTTTAATTGGTTAAATAAATTACATTACTTTGGTACAT